CAATCCGACGCTGCCAATCCGACGCTAGCTTCACTTTGGTAAAGGAATCGGTGCGGAATATTCGCCGTTTTCGACTTCACACCGTTCTTCCTCTTCTAGTGAGCTTATCTTCACAGCACTAACTCCTAAACTATGTAACTTTGCGACTTGGTCATCCATTAGACGTATTAGCGACCTTTAGATACGACGACGAGTACGAGTACGATAACGCTAAACCGTAGTCGATTTCCGATTTTTTACAATCTAAAATTTCAATCTATTTTATACACGATCAAGACTACAAAGAGATAGTGCCAATCTTTAAAAGTTTTAACTCGGACTCGTTCTCGTACTCGTCGTCGGATCTAAAGGTCTCAATTAAAGGAGACACAACAGCCACGATGTGACCAGACTCTAGTGTATATTTGTAGTCAAATACGAGAGGCAGAGCTTGGTAAATTAGAGATTTGCCAAACCCTGTTGAAAGATTGTCAAAAATATCTTTTTTCTCTTGGACTAAAGTTTTGATAGCCGACTTCTGATGCGCATTCAGATCAGGAATACCGAACTATGAATACAAGAGGCCAAATATGCATGTACACTTCTTCTATGAACGAGTTGAGGATGCGAAATAAAAGCTGCACGGTGATTGGTCAGATCAAAAGTCCGCGAACGGTTCTCTAAATATGTAACCCGTCTTGTGATCGGCCAAATAATGAGAAAGGAATGTAGTTCGAATGCAAGCAGCCGTTTGTGGGGAGGGAGCGTTGCGTGACAACCGACACTAAAAACGGATGCGTGGGAGAATAAGAAGGCGTGAGCTGACTTGAAAATACGTGAAGCAGACTAAGAGAATATCTTGTCAGCTTGTCACGCTACAATTCTCCTTTATACAACTTGTGCTCCAACGTCGTTGCGAGACAAATTGAAGAGAAAATCGCGCCTTTAGTAGCAGGTGGATCAGTGAATGAATCTGAATAATCTTGATATAGTTTCTTTGTCGAGATTTTAGCAGCAAAAAGGTAACTGATCTGCTTTGGAAGAACTTCACTTCCATGTCGAAGAAAAACGACTATTTTTG